CAAGGTTGTATATCACCAACGAGCATCGTAAGCATGTAGTACAATACGGTCCACGGAACATCCAGTCAAAAGCTGAATAAGGTTTAGTCTCCGAAGCCGACCACACGATCTCTCCACTGCGTGACATGCCTCTGTGCATTACTGGCGCAGAGCGAAGTTTGACGGAAGAGGCTTAGTCTCCGAAGATTAAGGCCCCCAGCTAACCGTGTTTCGAACTCGCGCTTTTGAGGATCTCGTGCGCCTCTAGGCTGCTCGTTGGGCAACCATGTATATCACGTGCCAAACCATACGGTCAAGGTTGTAAGTAGCATACGAAGAATGCGCAAGTGCCTGTCAACTTGCGGTTGTATCCGGTTACAAAGGTGTCTGAGAATCTGCGAGATCATGCGGTACTCAGAGCCTCTTCCCATCGTTGTCGGAACTGTTCCTCTCCGCGCTGTATCTTGTACCAGAGCACTGCTTCCAAATACGAACGAACCTCTACCCATGTACATAGTGCTAGATCATGAGCAAGAGTCGTGGCGTATGCACTGAACCAGCCAGATGTATCTGTGTCCTGCGATGCAATCATACCGATGGACAATACCCACAAGGCGATTTCAGCGTTTGCAGTCGCGAATGTAGGCATTAAGTCCTCGATATATCTCTTGAGTTCGATGACTAAGGTGGACTGTAGATGCGCATGCGAGAAGTATGTCGGTCCATGAATGATGAGCATGTATAATGCTATTGCGTATCGGATGCATTGGGAAGTCGAACATGCGTTCGAGTATTTGAGTTGTGATTTCGATGGTGACCAGGAAAGTAATTTGTGCAAGACGAAGCATGTTAAGTCATGCAGATGAGTAGTTGAGAGCTCTTGCTGGCGTGATACGTGGAACACATGTCGAAGCCGCGTGAATACATCGCCGATTGTGGGATCCATGTCGAGTTCCGAAAGGCCGAGTGAAGACTGGTCTTGAGAAGACGCTGGTAAATCCAACCATTTCGATATCGGGGCTATTCCGTCTCCAATATCCAGATGATCTTGGACGCTAAATTGCGGACTTTGCGTCAGTATCAATGAGACCCTGGATTAGAGGATTAGTAGAGCGACCGTAGATAGCGGACGATGAGTGACATGATTACCACGTGACCATTCGCGCTGTGAGAGGGCTTGTGAGTTTCAAAAGATGTATGCCGCCTCGCATTCGCACCATCTTCTTCACGCCATCGATGTGCATGTTACCAATTGTCAAATTGCCTTTGCCAAACTATAATTTCAGATGTCAGCGTATCAAATGAAGGGGCCCCAATGTTCAGAAGATCATCATACCTCTATGGCAGCAAGCGTTACGACCGAGTCCATGGTTTCGTCCTCATAAGCCTGAAGCGGGTCTTCAACTCGTCGCCGGACTAATGAAATGGAGTCTGCCATGAGAACCTCAGAGTTGTCGAATCCATTCTGAGCTCTCATCTCTATGTCCAACGACGCTGTCTGGAGGCTGACGTGGAACAAAGCGGAGTCATGTAGCGCAAGTGGCCACCATGACACAACGAAAGGGTTTGACATTGCGTTGAGATCCAACGGATAATACTGGAAGGCGATGTTTGATAAGACTATGGCGTATCAGTAAGCAGGGTAGTTGCAAGAACCTTCAGCAGGGAGGGATTCTTGACAATATACAAAACTAAGGGGGTCATGGTAGTTTTGCGAAGTTGTCAGCGCATCCGGTGCGGCTTTTGGTACGTACAATGAATCATGAGTTGCTGAACGCGAGCCCGGGGTAGTCTTGTGGCTGGGTAAGTGTCGAACGGGTCGAAGGCCTTATTTGCAGGATGGTTCCACAGTGCAGGTTGTTGGTTTCCATCCAACACAGGCGAGGTACTTGTGTCATTACGTATGCTCCGGGAAGTATAATTAGAAGGTACAGTCTCGGTGGACGACGAGGTAAGTGGCTCGTTTGCGTAGACACAGCTGGCTTTCCGTTTTCGACAGCGTGAGCATGTGGGTGTGCGTAGATCGCAGCTCAATTTCGATCTCGCACAAGCATCGCACGATCTCCTGAGCGTCCTACGCATTGTGAGGTACTCTCCGGAGGTTCAGGCATGACCTTTGTCTGTGATGAGGGGATGGAGTGCTGCGCATGCGGGAAGACGCGGGTCGCCCTCGCTTACATTAGCGTCGACAAGGGTTGGTGTGATGGGCTGAGCTCGTGTGCCCGTCATCAACGCCATTCTCCACCATCGGAAAATGAACTCTCTACGTGAGTCAGGCAACGCCTCATTCTCAAAATCTCTCATTGCCGTGGCCGGTTTGTACTTTGGCAAGTCGCATATTTGTAGCCAGAGCGGTCGTGTTTGAACAGCTCCTCACCTTGCAAAGGACTTTGGTTCATCTATGAGCTACTAAGCCGTTCACCTATGCATATTCCCGAGGTCGGCACTACAAGACAGCGGCGTGACCAGGGCATGGATCTCAGCACATTGCTTACAACATAAAGTTCTTGCCTTATTTCCAAAACACGAGGATGCTCGTTACGCGAGAACACTCTTCGTAGACGCAATTTACACGTCGACCCCAGAGTAGTCAACCGCGACCCCGATCGCCACCCAGTCATATGCACTGCAGATCTGGCCCTTCCAGAAGTCTGACCCTGCTCGTTCTACGATATTGCGGAGAAGCCCAGAATAGCCCGATCGCCCACCAAGATTGCTGTCGTTCTCGTTGGTGGTGCCGGAAACAAGGGTCATAAGACCTGGATCTCGGCTCGCTTAATCTGGGTAAATGCCAATGGTATGTGGTCGAGAGCGGACGGAACGGCTATTGGATATTGGGCATAAAGGGACGACAAAGTGCTATACGGAGTCCATAATTCGTGATTGTCTGGGAGGTATGCAGATCTCGTGGGAAATTCTGATGCGGCATCGGTCTTTTCGAAAACTGTTTCGGTATAAGAGCTCAGGATCGCGCTGGTTTTGAGGAGATGTTTGAGATACGTATTCTAACCTTATACTAAGTCATTAACTTTCGCTCGACACAGAGGCCGCACTTTAGACAACGTTGTAGTCTTGTTACATCTGGCATCACTCCGCCGCTACCACCAACGATGCGTTCCCTCCTTCCCCTCGTCGTCCTTCCACTCCTAGCCCTCGCGGCCCCACCAACTTCTCCAACAATAACGCGGCTCGTTTTCTCGGGCTCAGGATGTCCTAATGACTCTGGTTCCGTGAAGTCTGACACCGCAACCCTCGGTGACAGCGCCGGCGTCTCCTTCACGCAACTCAAAGGCGACACAACAGATAACTGTGCTGTACACATTCAGTCAGCTGGAGCAAGCGAAGGCTGGCAAGTTGCGGTTCGACAAGTGGACTACGTGGGCGATGTGAATTTGAAGGGAAACAGCGGACTGGATACATATACCCAGGTCTTCTGGAGTGAAAATGCTGGAAATACTGTGAATAGTCATCATATCAAGGCTGAATGGAGAAACGCTGACGATACACAGGGCGTGCTCACAGGTGGTCTCGCATGTGCTGGCCCAGAGATCAAAGACTACATTACTGTGCGGAGCAGCACCGCGGATCTGAAGTGGTCAAAGTGTACTGGCGCAGATGGCAATCCTGGTATCTTGAACGTCAACTTTAGGCCAGTCGTTCAGGGTGACTTTGGTACATATGACTTCAAACATGCTGCGTGGAAGTTGGAATGGCGGAGATGCTAGAGTGGTATGAAGGTCTGCTTTTGAAGGAGACTAGAGAAGCGTGTGTACAACAAAACTCGGTGCATAAAATGGAAACAGAATGTGAATAAGCGCTCTTGAACTTCTTCTTCTACCTCCATGAACAGTAGCCTTTCTGCTCTTGCCCAACTGCGTTGCTAACTACAACCATGCTGAAGCATTCACTAGAACGTACCTAGGTATGCTGCATACGCAGACTAGACAGTGATATCAGCTTGCCGATGACGCTATTAACTCAAGAGAAAATGTGAGCATGGGGAAGTTGAAGTCAGTATCCCCCTCCCCAGTCTCGGTTGGTGCGTCTTCCGCTGAGTGGGCTGATGTAGAGTGGCCTGGGATCAGGTATACCAATACTCGTCGGGTATCACTTCGCGCTCTGCATCGTTGACGTATCTGAGGGGCGCGATATATTCCCCGAGGGACATGGGACGATGTAGACGCCGGCCGGTTGACCAGCTTCTAAAGGACGCGTTGAGCTGGCTAATGCAGGTAAACAGATCGCGAGAACGCAAGGGGCCAGACAGGATTAGATGAACAACCGACGCAGAAGGTTGGAGTTTGAAGCTCAGTGCCGTACGCTTGCTTGTTTTAGGTGCTGCTAAGGGTGACTGTAGGATGCCAGTAGGAAAGCGCGGGTGGCGCTGCTGTCATCAGGCGGCGTAGCTAGAAGCGCCGCGGTTGCACTTGCCACGACACGCATCGACCCAGGAAGACGATCATAGCAGCCGCGGGTGTTGATGCAAGCCGAGGACACCTAGAGCAAATTCGGTGGATAGATGGACTGCAGCGGCGAAGATAGGTGTGGCTACGCGCGACACCGACGCGTCTAGCGCGATCTCGGGATGCTCGGGGTGAACCAGCCGATCAACGTCATCCTGTCAAGGCCGACGAGGGCTTCATCACTGCCGTCACCTTTCATACCTAGGTCTCTTCCCAATGACATTTCGGAAGAAATCCGTGGAGAAGGCAAGTCTTGATTGAAGGGAGTGCCCATATACAGCATGGCAGGCAATGATCCACAACCTTGGAAGCTCCGCACTGAGCGGAATTCCGCAACTATGCCCAGGTGCCAGTCATTCGTGAACATATGCCAGGGCCTACATAACGCCTCTTGCAGCAACCCAACCGTCTTACGTAGGCCTAGCAAGTCAGATTATCGACGAGCAAGAACGGACGCGTGGTAGTGACTTGCGGTCATTATCGCATCAGGCTCCCATACTTTAGAGGCTCTCTGATATTGGTACACAATATCAAATCAAACAGCAAACAGCCTCAAATATGGATCCTCGTACAGTCGGTACGGTACATCACCCGAATCCAAAGCCACCACTGACAAAACACCAAGACTTGTCTGCAGCAGCGCAAGATAGTTTCGCAACCTTTGTCAAGGACGAAGCCTTCTTCGCCCTCAGCTTTTACCTAGCATGCAACAGCAACATCGAAGCTTGTGCGCCCATCCGCCAGAACCATGCATCTTTCCAACTCGAGCTGAACCAGCTTGAAAGCAGTCTTGATACGTCGAAGCCAGCGTACATCGTTCTCCGCCGCGGTGGCTCGCTCACGTTCATCACATACGTGCCATATCGCGCAAAGGACACCGTGCGAGACTTCCTCCTCCATCACAGACACGATGTTGTACGACAACTTGGCTCATCGCACATCTCAAGCTCGATAATATGCAAAGAGATCGCAGAGATTACAGACGCTCGATCGTGGGCAGAGCGAGATGCAGCTGCTACCCTGATAGACGACATAAGCATTCAAGGCAACAATCTAGAATCTCGTACGAGCGCCGCGCATGCTGAAGGCGCTCGAAAAGACCTAGGATACAGGAGGAACAAATGCCGCCTTTGCGATCGCCGCATGAAGAACAGAATATCGCCCGAAGCTCTTGCAGCGCTGAAGGTGCTTCAAGGCCCCGGAGCAGCTGTGCAGATCGTAAGGCTTTCATCTCAATAGTACCTTTCAAGCGTGATAGCTGACCCGCCCCAGTCCGTTGACAGCACTACCGAGACCCTCCAGCTGAACTACATCAAGAACGAACTATACCCGAAAGATGTCGCAGCAACCCTACCAACCGACAAGCCTAGTTTCACCTTCTACCGTCACCCCGCCACCCATCTACTCTACTTCATCTTCCACTCGCCCGACCATGCCACAGTGCAGCAACGTATGAAGCACACAATGGCCATACCAGGGCTGATCAATGTCCACGCTCAAGACCAGGACGTGCATGTAGACCAGAAGATTGAGATTCATGAACCGGACGACTTGGTCTTTGTAGCCAAAGACGAGCGCATCGGCAGGTTCAGAAGCGTGTATCTGAGGAACGGGTTTGACGGGACGGAGAGCACGTATGATGGTTTAGAAGGCGACAAAGCTTTTTACGACGGGATCAAGTAGCGCATCTTTGATACATGACTTTTGTAAATAACACTCTCATCGTTCATCTACCTTGATTCTACCACACTCGTCTCACTACTTTACCTCGTGAATATACTCCGCTGGCTCGCCTCTTTCAGTTGAGCCTCTACGCTGACTAGCAAAGTGAAAGGCTTCTAGTACACATTATGCACATTGTAAGGTGACTGCGAAATTGACAGGAAGATTTACACCAGCAAAGAGTAGTGGTGTCGAGGAACTGATTAGAAACTTATGCATACACCCATATGATAAGGAAAGCAACCAAACTTTCCTCCTCGCTGAAATCCATCATCCATATATGACACATATCAGATTTTAAGGAGGCGTATCAGTCTAAAGCGTGTTTCTCATAGCCTATGGTATCGTACAGTACAGTAGATGCGCGAATGCTGCACGAAAAGAAAGACAAAACGCCATCTGCTGAAATGCAAGTTTGTATGCCTTCATCCCAGTATGCAGCGGAGATGATGTGTAGGGGGAAAGAGTAGATAACACCAAGATGACCGCACCGATGCAAAAATATAGACTAGAAAGCGATGAAGTTGGAAATGAAAAGAACACCATGCAGAATGCTACCCCTTGTCTCATAGTCAGGACGGAGAGAAACGTCTTTCCCTCCCAGCGCCGATGCAGGAATATGCGAAAGACCTAGTCCTAGATGGATGGACATGTCGTGTGGGGATATCGAAATGACACTACGCGTTTGTGTGCAACAAGGAAGACCCGCTTATGCATCTACATCGTCTTCCTGATACGCCTCCTCTTTCGCCCACTGTCGACTTCTACACTCGTGCTCATCGTATCCCTTGCACTCCGCGGGGTGGAAAACCGCTCACGGATGTGCTCCCGGATGACCTTCTTGGTCTTGTCGCGCTTCAACTGGCGCTCCTCGTCTGGGTCGACGAAGCGATGGACAGTGCGGTGATCGCGTATGCGCTCTTCCTTGTCGTGCTTGCCCTCCTTCTCCGTCTTGGGCCAGGGGAAGCCGTACAGTTTCGAATGGCGCTCGCACCGTGGACATTCTTTACGCGTGTTGTAGCCGTCTTGTTGTACAAAGTCGACGTCGCATGTCTGGCAGTTGACCCACTTGGAGTACTTGGCTGAGAGGAGAGCGTTCGATGTCATGTAGTCGCCCGGCTTTCGCGTGTTCTCGACATAGTCGGCTTCGTCTCCCTCTTCAATCGTGATTGGGGTACCAACGCGGTTCTGGACGTCGAAACGAGACTTTGAGCGTGTTGTTCGTAGTGTTGGGCGGGGTTTGCGCTTGACAATCTGCTGGTTCACATCGTCAAACTCGAAGCTCTCAGAAAGTTCGCTGAGATCGGACATGTATGCGTCTTCGTCTGCAGGCGGGGAGGGCCACGGGGCGTTTACCGTTGTCGTAGTGATTTCCTCCTTCACTATCGCCACTCCCATCGCTGGGCAATCTTGTATTGTCGTGGAGTCGACCTGCTCCTTGGGATCGCCGGTGTCGTGCGGGTGATCTTCGTCAATCGAGGTGGCATCTGTAGATGATTGAGTCGACTTGGGTGACGCTGCTGCTATGGACGATTGCGGGGATGCCTCTCGCGACGAGCTGGCCAAGTCCGTATTCACCGTGAGAACACCTTCGCTATGTTCATTGCGGACTTCTTGCGATATCTCTGGCGATGAGACCAAATTGGTCGCTGGATCCTCTATACTCGAAACCGGGAGCTCCTGACGCAGGGACGATGTGCTGTGTGCCTTCTTCAGCGTCGTCTTGCGCAGCAGATTCGACGTGTGCTGCTTGGAAGGCGAAGTCTTCTGCTCAAATCTCGCTCGCTTTGGGGCGGGTGTTGAGTCACGCGAGGGGTCGTCGTCCGTTGAATCTTCCAGCGATCGCTTCTGAGAAATAGAGGCCGCATCGGAAGCGGTTTCGGCGGTCTGATCATGACATGCGCGATCCACCTCTTCATCATTCCCTTCGTCGTTGTGGACGACTCGCTTCATAGGTGCCCAGCCGTTTTGCTGCAGGCTTTCGCAAGTATTACACAAACACTCCTCATTATCGTCGCCAAAGTAGTCCTCGCCGTACGAGACTGTAATTTCTTCTCCTTCAAGAATCGGCTTCACTGCAACAATCTGCATGCCATCGTAGCCTTTGGTTGTAAGCTTTGCGTTTGCGTCGCAATCGTGATTGGCGAAGCGCGCGGGACCTAGGAACAAGGAGCGCGTCTTCTTGCGGCTTGAAATAACCAGACTGAAGTCCTTGCTCTGCAGCTCTAGAGTTTTCTCTTGCTCTTCAGTCATAGCTACTTGCACGCCGGTCAAGTACTTGATTTCTTCGCGTGGGTTGATGTCTCGTCGCGCGGTGATTGAGGCCTCGTGTTCCGTGATAATGTATCGGTTGGTGGTGGTGACCTCGAATTGGCAGTCGGCCATGTAGATGTTGACGTATCTGCGGAGATGGCGCTTGAACTGATCCTGATCGCGCTCATCCTTCAGCGTGTTCATGAACCTGCGCAACCCCGGCAGTTGCACCAACTTGTGCACTGCCTCTGCAGGATCCCTCTCCCAGACTACGTGTCGTCGGATAACGTCGGCCACATCCTCCTCGTGCAATCCCCGCGAGCCTGTGAAGCGGCCACCTCTGTTCTTGCGAATCTTGGCCCAGAAGTAGAGTTTGTCTACGAGCGCGTCGGTGATGATGTCGTCGAAAGTGGCGAGCTTGTCCAGCGTCAGTTTCGTCGAGGGCGCCATGATGGCGCGATGGGGTGGATGAGTTCGAACGTGCCCGCGCAATCCGCCGCCGGTCGTGGAGATCGTAAGGAGTCGTAGGGTTTCGCGATTAAGGGGGAGGCTGGCAGGGCTGGCTGACGTTATGGTGGCCAGCAACGACAAGTCATTCACCGTCGCGTACAACAATAGCTGCACCACAAACGAAAAGAAAGAGCGTGCAGACGACGCGCGCAAGGGAAGGAGCGAGCGACGGCACGCACGGGGGATCCAGCACTCGCCCGATAGTTTACGGGAGTATGGACTCGACGGAACTAGCCCTGCAGGCTATCGAGACCCGCATGCGGCGCATGGGGTGAAGGGCTAAGCGAGCATCATCGGGGCCCCTGCCCATGTGCGGCTAAACTGCGGTGGCACGAGTCCGGCTTGCGACTTTGACAGCGACCAAGACACACACCCCCGACGTCAACACCACCACGCCGCGCTCATCGAGGCAGGCAGTCGAGACCAGGACATCGGGAGAAGCCACACAGGATGATTCAATTAAAGGTGTGCTGGGCCGGTCACGCGCGGCAGAGCAAGGACTGATGGATGCCCTTCTAGACCCTCGTAAATTGCATCGACAACTCGGGCGCCGCCATAGTCGAGTGCGTCAATGTCCTGCGATCGAAGCGCCCCGCGAAAGTTGGTATGTGCGCGAAACTCCAAGGCACGGCACGAAGCTGATGGAAGCAGGCGACCGCATAGTAGTGGTTGTAAAGAAACAGCGAAATTTCGGCCCGGAAACCGGCAACAGCGTCTCCATCAGCGCAGCGAACAAAGTACGGCGAGGCGACGTCCGACACGCAGTTGTGGTACGGACAGCGAAGAAGTGGCAGCGGCCGGACGGCAGCGTGGTCAAGTTCGACGACAACGCCTGCGTACTTATCAACAAGGCCGGAGAGCCCATCGGATCGAGAGTCAGTGGTGTTGTCGCGGCAGAACTGAGGCAGAAGCAGTGGTCCAAGATCCTATCGCTGGCGCCCATGCACGTATAACGGCTGGCATGTGGGTGGGATGAAAGATGCATTTTTTGGGAGTCTATGAGCGCTTTGGAATGTAACATTATGTGTATGCCACTACAATTGTACCCATGGGTATCTCAACGGCTGTTCCCTAAACTCCTCGCAGCAAATATGTGAGATTAAACGCCAGCTACATGCATTCCATGTCGTTGTTCTCTTAGTTATCAGACGGGCGTGAGACGTGACCGCATCCGGCGCACACGTAGTAAAGGGCCTGGACCGGTCAGAATGGCTTGCGAACATGGACGAGAAACTTACCATGCCCGTCTCGGCGGTCCGCTGCTGCGACTGGAAGAAGACGGCTTCGTTCTCGCCGCACTCTGTGCATTGTTTCTGGATGCGCGGTAACTAGACGCAGGCACAGTCAGCGAGCACGCTCAAGAGCAAGCAAGCAACTGTACTGGTGGAAGACGCAGGAGGCGCTTTCAGGACGTGGGTTCGTCCCACATGTCCTCGTCAAAGTCGTCGTCGTAGTCTTCAAACATTTCATCCTCCTCGCGCATCTGCTGCTGGGGGCGCTCGGCTTGCGGGTCCTCGTCCTCGGCCTCGAGGGCAAAGCCAGGAGCCGATTCCTCGCCGCACTCCTGGCACATGATGGGCATGCCGCACATGGTGCAGCAGGGCATCTCCTCAGAGAGAGCGGCCTGGGCAGCTTGGGCATCGGACAGGGAGTAACCAACCGTGGGATCCTGAGCGACCTCGGCTGTGACACCAGCTGTGGCTCCGACTGTGGACGCGATTTCGTGGCGCATGACGCAGGATGAGGGCGCTTCTTCGGTGAAGTTGCATGTGCGGCAGGCGAAAAGCAGCTTGTTCTCGGATTTGTCTTCGCGGGGGAACAGCAGGTTGGAGCTGCGCGTGATTAGCCAGGCTTCGTGGTTGCAGAAGAGGCGACGCACCATTCTGAGCAGAAGCGGAAGAGAATGGGCTCCTTGCCGCCCTTGGAGCCGCCCATTTGCGCTGCTGGTGAAGCCATGCTGAGTGGACGTGAGGTCGTAAATCGTAAATGTGCGTGTGCGTGTGGATCGTCGTGACGGCTGTTGTGCGCGTGTGAAGAGACAAAAGCGTCGAGGAAGCCTGCGCACAAAAGTTGGGTAGGTACAGAGACAGAGTCACGTCGGCGAGCGCGGGCCACCCGTCTTGATTCGCGCGGCTTCCGTTGCTGTAGCAGAGCCGCGTTCTTTGTTTGGCAGGCGCCCCCGCATTATCGACCTTGAG